AGGAAAGGTGGGGCGATGGTAAAGTGAGCGGGGATGGCTTCTTGGAGTGGGGGCCCCTTAAGAGGGAAGGATCCAGCCGCACAAAGATCCAGTGGGAAAGGCCCAGGGGCAGACCATGACAATGCAACGGCCACGAGGTGGGCACGAACCAGGTCTGAGAGGCCAGCACGGCCAAAGCGCAGGTCGAGAGAGCGCGAGCACGGAGGACAGTAAGTAGCCGCGGCAGGTGAGGACCAGGTGTTTGGATGTTACTGGAAGCACAAGGAGACACTGGAGGTCGTCCTGGAGACAGGTGTCTCCTGGCCAGCCCCTCGGATCAGAGAAGGCTTATCATTTCCCTTTCACAGATATCACGCTACACCCACATGCTCACAGTTGGAACGCCTGAACTGGCAGGCGATCGGGATGAGCAGACCTAATGCCAGAATTTATCCTGGAACGTTCTCTGTGGCATCTGCAGAGAATCTGGCACCGGACAGCTCAATACACAACTGGAAAGCTGACCTACTGCTGTGATTCAAGCTTCACGGGGAATTGGATATAGAACGGTCCCTCCTGATTCAAAGTCCATTTCATCTGTGAGAGGGAACCCGTTTAATAGTAGTAACTTGCGGGCTCCCTCCAGGGTGAAAGGAAGGCTGGAGTGAAGGGAGAGGCTGAGCTTGGGGTGACAGCACCTTACGCAGGGGCACGTCTCTCACTCTCCCCGCCTCCCACAGTTGTCAGGAGACTGTGCTGGGGCCGGTGTGTGCGGGGTGACCCTCACCGGTATCGCGCTTCAAGAACTCCAGCAGGGTCCGAATGGCGGCCACGGCCGAGGCCATGTCGGGATCTTCGTTCATCTGAGACTTGAAGTACTCGATTACCTCTGGGGAGAGAGGAAAGTGGCCCATCCAATGCACTGAGCAGGGCGTGGGGCAGAGCCTGTCAACATGGTTCACCTTAAACATTTTCTTTCCAAGGGGCTTGGCTTTCAGGGGAGGAACGGTCAATGGGAGTACAGACGATGCTTAGAGGTCCTTGTCCCTCTTATCCGAGACCCCACGTCCCGAGGGAGCCCCAGCCGACCACCTTATCAGCGCCTCCCGCCCCCTCCCTGCAGCCAGGTCTGTGCTAGGCCAAGCCGATTCAACGCAGGCTTATTTACGTGCAGGCAGGGGGCCACCACCTTTTATCTGCTTCACGTGAAAATCAGATGTGTAATAGTTCGCCCTTGCGTTTCACTTAGTAAAACACTCCGATAAGCACAGTAGATGAGCACATCAGACACGCCTTATTCTTCCAGTCCGGAGTCATTCCTACTCCACATATGGGGGGGTCAGGACTGCGAAGGCCGCACGTTCAGGAAGCGGGGGAGCGGGGTGTCTGCGGGTTCTCAGGGCCCATCCCCCGGACACAGGACCACGAGAGGGACCAGAGGAACCGCATCCAGCCGAGCAGCCCGGGCGTGCGAGGTGCAGGGACCCCCGCGCGGCTCCGCTTTGGCCCCGGCCCGGCCCGACTCACCCTTGTCGTCCATGGTGCCCTCCGGACCGCGGAGCCCGAGGGGCCCGGAGCCGCCCGTGCTGCCCGCCGGCGTCCCGCGACCGCGCCGGCGCCGAAGCCCAGAGGCTGACAGCGCGCGGCGCCGCTCCGCACTCCACTTCCGGCGCGCTGGGGGCGGGGCCCAACCGCCTGGCGCGTCACTCGGAGGCGCCGGAAGTGGACGCGCGCCGCATCCGGGATGCCCACTTGACTTCCGGTGGCTCTGCGCGGAGGGATCCCAGGCCACCATGGTCTCGGACGGTGAGGGTCGCGCGGGTTGGGACCGGGACCGGGGCCGGGGGCCGGGCGGCCGAGGCCCGTCCGGAACCGGCCAGGTGGCTGTGCGGTGCGGGCTGGTGGCGCCCGCGTGGTCTTCAGAGCGGCAGCGAGTGTGTTGCCTCAGGAGATGCTCTCGGTTCCCCCTGCGGGCCAGGCCCTCTGTGCTGTGCCCGCCGAGGAAGCGCAGCCGCGAGCCGGCAGGACGGGCCCCTGCGGAGGCTGCAGGCCGGGGGGGAGAGACAGACAAGAGGCCAGTGAATAGACGGAGTTCTGAGGGGGCAGGAGCGGTGCACACAGTGTCGGGGTGACGTGGGAGATGGCGATGAGGAGCGGATGCAGGCGGAGGTGCTTTAGGTGGGCGCCCAGGGGCCGCAGGGATGGCGACGAGAGGAGTGACTGTACCCCTCGGTGCACGGGGACGCCCCACCCACGGAGCCTCGGGGGCCGGGGTGGGAAGGCTGAGAGCGGGGCGCCACGAGCTGTGAAGTGAGGAGGTGACAGCGAGGCCTGAGGGGTCCGCACCAGGCCACGTGACCTCCAGCCAGTGCCCGCCCTTTGCAGACCAGGACCGCCATATTCCACCTAAAACAGCGTTGGTTGTGAAATGTCCTTCCGTGTAACGCACCACCCGTCGGGATCGAAAGATACCATCTGATTTCAGCAGCTGCTCGATGGAATTAATAAAAAGGGGGGGGTGCATCTGGTAACTGATGAACGATGGCGATCATCTCTGTCCCTTCTGGCTGGGTTCCTGTCAGCACCGAGGGGGGAAACGGACCCCGTGTGCCGGGGCCTGGCGCGGCGGAGGCTGGCACCCCCGGTCCCTGCGATGGGGGAGCGGGGCCCGTGGGGAGCCCTGGGAAGGGCTTTTGGAGCAAGGAGGTCGCACCGCAGCGGGGCCCTGGAGAGTCCATAGGGTTTGGATGTGTCCGCAGGAAGCAGATGGGGGGGGGGGGGGTCCTGACCTGCAGGAAGGAAGGCGGGAGGGACGCTGCTGCATTTTGTTACTAATGAGCATCCTGGGATTTCCATGTCACGCCTGCCTGCAAGTTCATCGCCCCCCAGTCAGCACGGAGGCCCCTGGAGGGCGCGGACACGGTGCGCCCGCCGCCTGGCACGGGTCTCGGTGTAAATGGTTGTGGAGTGAATGGGCTACGCGAGGCGGCTCTGTGTTTGGAGCGGAGCCTCGTGTCTTTCCCAGGAAAACAGTGCACGTAGGAGTTGGTTTTCACCTTTTAAAACTGGTTCCTAATCGCAGCTGGCCTTGCTGCTAGGCGATTGGATGTATTCAGGGCCAGAAGGATTCCTGATTCCTCCCTTTAAACCGCCCCCCCCCCCAAATGTCACTGCTAGTGGTTTTGCTGCTGGTTGTTCAGTGCCTTCTGTCATGGACCAGGCATTTAAAATGCAAATATCGACCCCGCTCGTGTGGTTCGCGGTTGGCTGGGCGTTGCCCCGTGCACCAGAAGGTCAGGGGTTCGATTCTCAGTCCGGGCACATGCCCGGTCGCAGGTTTGATCTCCGGTGAGGGGTAGGAGGTGTGCAAGAGACAGTCTATCGATGTTTCTCTCCCTCCCTCTCTCTCTAAAGTCAATAAAAAACGTATTTTAAAAATAAATAAGTAAAAATGCAAATACCTTTGGGTCCATCCAATATGCACTTATTACACACCCTCTATGGCTAAGCAGCATGTGAGGAACAAAAGATGAGCAGTGTCAAAACAGACGCACGCCCTCGCACGCCCTCGTGGAGCTGCCGGTCTAGCGGAGGGGGCGGGCTTGCTCAGGGCCACTGAGCTGAGATGCGTAGGAGAGCGGGGCCTCTGTTAATCTCAGCACTGCCAGGTCACAGGCACGGAAAGGCATGTAGGGTGTTAGCTCTTCACTGTCGTGGGGCTCATGTTTTTTTTATTTTTGTTCATATTTTCAGAAGATGAATTGAATCTTCTAGTTATTATAGTTGATACCAACCCAATTTGGTGGGGGAAGCAAGCATTAAAGGAATCCCAGGTAAGATTGCTCGAGGGGGCCTTTGGGTAATTGTAGTTTAACTGAGTATGTGTTTATATTGCTTTAAAAAAATAGCTTGAATAAGGTATTTATATACCATAAAATTCACCCATCTTAACGTACAATTGGGTGCTTTTCAGTAAAACCCACAGTAGAGTTGTGTAACCAGGACCACAGTTCTGTTCTTTCATTTGTTTAGTCCTCACCTCAGCATGGAGGGTTGCGGGCTGGAGGAGAAGTCTTTACATATTCTGGACACAAGTCCTCTATCGAATATGTGATTTACAGATATCTTCTCTTGGCCTGTGGCTTTGTGGCTTGTCTTTTCGTTTTCTTAATGGTGCCTTTTAAAACAGCTTTATCCGGATAGAATGGGCATGCAATGAACTGTCTTTAACGTGTTCAGTTTGACATGTTTTCACATATGTACACATTCATGAGGTTATCGCTACAATGAAAATGAGGGGCCTATAGATCCATCAGCCCCAGGAAGTGTCCTCATGCGCTTTTGTAATTGACCCCCACCTCCCCTGCCTCTCTGCCTGCCCCCCCCCCCCCCCCCTTCAGGCACTCCCTGCTCTGTTTTCTGTCACTTGATCAGTTTGCATTCCCTAGGGCTCTACACTAACAGAACCAAACAGTACGTACGGCGGAGTTTTGGTCTGGCTTCTTTATTCCGCATCATCATCCTGAGCCTTGTCCATGTTACCTGTCCCAGTAGCTCAGTTCCTTTGGTTGCTGCATGTATTCCATGGCCGGGTAGTCCGCACCTCCCTGCCTGGTACCTTATTCCTCTGCAGAAAAGGTGGCTCATCTTGAGCTCTCGTCACTGGTATATAAGGAGGCCTTTCGTCTTTCACTTTTGCTCACAGTCATTATTTTTGCCATCTGGAAATTCAAATAGGTTTGTTTTATTTTTTAAAAATAAAGTGAACTTCATCAGCATTTTATTTTCCTGCCTGAAAGTATTTTTGTTGAACTCAGTGATTTGAAGAGCTCATGTAGGGGTGTGCAGAGCTAATTGACCTTTCTTCCTCTTTCAATAGTTCACGTTATCGAAATGCATAGACGCAGTGATGGTGCTGGGAAATTCTCACTTATTCATGAACCGGTCCAACAGACTCGCGGTGATAGCGAGCCACATTCAGGAAAGGTAGGACCGCCAGGGTGTTCTTCGAGTTCGTGGGACTTGCATGCCAGTTGCGTGTCCTGGGCCTCCTGTACGTCGCAGTGACTTTTTTCTGTATCCGTGAACAGTCCTCACAACATCAAGGAGCAGCACATGCACACCTGGAGAGTGAGCATTGACTGCCTCCCTAGCTGGTGTGCAGTAGAGCTGGGCGGTGCTCGTCTCACTTCACCTTCACCTTGTGCTCTGGGCGGAAAGGAGCATCGTCAGATGGGCCTGCAGCTCCCGTCACTGCTCTCCTGGCGGGTCTGCCCCGGGGCGGGGAGAGCGCTGGGATTCTGCTTTCCCTTCAGCCAGCCCAGCTCCTGGGCACCTCTCACTCCCAGTGTGACCACTGCACGACTCTGGGGGTGATTCTGGTGTTTATAAGTGAGGACTTTTCTTACAAATTGGCTCCTTAACCCACTCCAGCTCCGCCATCTGGTGCTGGGCTGAAGAAACAGTGACCCTTCCTAACACTGGTGCAAACACCTGTCTGTGTGGCCAATAGAGCTGCAGCGGGTATGCAAATGGAGTATGCAAATAGGGCCATGTGCCAGCAGAGATTCTCGTGAATAATTCTGACCCTGTTTACTTGTCACGTGACACACGGACTGTGGAATCCAGCCCCATGTGAGGCGCGGCTCCTCTCTGGTTAGTGACGTGTCCCTCACAGTAAACGGACTCCTGTTCACCCACGTGTTTCATGAGGTTGGGGGCCGGTTGTCAGGCTGCTTGGTTCTCGGGGCTCGTTCCCTCAGTGTGTGGAGAGAACCCACAGCCAAGTGCTCCCCTCCCGTCGTCGCCAACATCCTCTCAGAATCAGGAGAGAGGACGCCGATCTGATTAAGATGTCACTCAGAGCAGTGACAGGCTAAGTCAGTGGTTCTCCACCTTCCTAATGGGGGGAGGGAGAGAGAGATAGAAACATCAATGATGAGAGAGAATCATGGATCTGGTGCCTCCTGCACGCCCCCTACTGAGGATCGAGCCTGCAACCCGGGCCTGTGCCCTGGACCAGAACCGAACCCGGGGCTTCAGTCTGCAGGCCGACGCTTTATCCACTGAGCCACACCAGCAAGGGCCATATGTTTTGTTTTTTAAAAAAAATGGAATTTATTATAGATCTTGTGATCCAGAGTTAATGTGGCTTTTGTGTGTTTTCTCTGCTAAATGTCACCCTGTCTAGGGAGGGGGCTGCGTCCTGGTGTAACGAGGCTTTTCCCACTGTTTCAGCCGATTCCTGTACCCTGGGAAGAACGGGCGACTCGGAGACTTCTTCGGGGACCCTGGCAACCCCGCTTCTGAATATAACCCCTCGGGGAGCAAAGACGGGAAGTACGAGCTGTTGACAGCAGCAAATGAAGTCATTGTGGAGGAGATCAAGGATCTGATGACCAAGAGTAAGAGCTTCTTTTCCTCCATTGCTGTTATTTTGCAAATGGAGTTGAACGTGGGGGGCCTGTAATCCAAGGATTTGAGGTTCTTGGTGCTGCTACTTGCCGTTTTGTTAGCGTCTGTGCGGCATTTCCCTGATGCTGCAGCCTGGACACTGCCCTGCCTCCGCCTCTTGAAGCACACCCTTTGGCTCCTAAGACTGTCCTGTTGATCTGGTTTTCCTCTTTTTTGGACCATTTTTTCTTCTATTTATGACTTTTCCTTAAAATATATATTTTCTATTTTGTTTAAAACGTTATTTTCATTCATGAAGAAGAATACTTTGGTTTAATAATGATTTTAGTTCAAGAAAATGCCAAGAAATTCCCTTCTTTTAATGCTTCTTCTTCTTGCTTGTAGGTGACATAAAGGGGCAGCACACAGAACCTCTGCTGGCGGGGTCCCTCGCCAAAGCTCTGTGCTGTATCCTTGGTGGGTGCTCATTCGCGGTGTCTTCTGGGATAGACGTGTCTTCCTGGGGATGTTGCTTGGACCCTGTGCCCACATGAACGAAGGCTGAGCCTTGCAAAGCGATGGCTTTGCAGTGTTTGTGAACAAGCTGGAAAAACTCAAAGTGGGAAGAATGGGAGAACCCCAGTGCTTTTTTTTTAATATAGAGAGAAACATCGATGTGGTGTCCCACTTACTCATGCATTCATTGGTTGCTTCTTGTACGTGCCCTGACCGGGGATCGAACCCACAACCTTGGTGTATCGGGATGACGCTCTCACCAACGGAGCTCCCGGCCAGGGCCTGCTCACAATCCTTCAGGGCACGTCCTCGCTTCCTCGCTTCTTAGTTAGGCAGACTGGGGAGTTGGTGTTTTGTTTTTTCATTTCTGTTGGATGATAAAAGCCACTCACTGACCCGACGCTCAGTGAGCGAGCAGCTGTTGCTCCACAGGCCAGTGGGTTCCTTCGCGTTTAGCGTGGGGTCCACAACCCCTCCAAGCATTTCGATGTCTATGTTTGTGTGATGTTCTCCCAAAATTAAGCACTTGGATTTGCTGGGGCAGCATTGAGTGATTGCTCTGTTTCGGACTCTGAGGGTGGTGGCTGGGCCCTGTGTGTGGTCTTCAGGTTCCAGACCCCCCTGGCTGGCTGGCTGGCTGGCTGGTCCCAGGGTTCAACTCTGGGGTGTGGGGGTCATCATACAACAGTCCGTGGTGGTCATTTCCATTTTCTGGCACAAAGATGCTTTGGAAACCCCTAGTCCTTCGGTTTGTGTGTCTATCACGGTAAAGGGAACAGGTCTCTCTCCGTCTGGGGATGCTGGTTTATTAACTGAAATTTGAGGTTATTTGTCTGTTTACTATGAATATTAATGAAAGTAAAAGATACTTTAAAATTCCTTAATGCTAAGAAAATAAGACATCCACAGGATGAACAAGGAGGTTAAAGGTAGGAGCCTACGTTTCCTGTGAGACTGACTCTTACTTCACTACTGTAACTTGGTGGGCTGCATGGAGTTGGTTAGAAAACCTTACAACATGCCTAATAAGACTCAGTTCCATGGTAGCCTGCGTTCCTCTCTTTACAGACAATCAGGAGATGAAGTCCAGGATACTGGTGAGATTTGTGACGTGAATCCTGTGCTTGTGTTTATGCTTATGTCTGCCTTCGGCAGCTGGGGGTCGGTTGCCCTCCCGCGTGGCGTCACTGATGGGGATGGAATAGTGCAGCTCTCCCGGGGCAGGTGGTTGTCGGGGTGGAATGGGCGGCCTCACTGATTTCAGGAGCTCATCCCGGAGAGTCCGTTAGCGCTGTCTACACCGAGCCTTGCAGGCCGCTTCCGAGTCCCCTGCAGGGACTTGGGTAAATAGCGAAGTCAGCTAAGTCAGCAGGAAGGACAGAGACGCCTCAGAAGCAGGTCGCAGCACACTGGACGGAGGACTGTCCGTGAGTGTGTGTGCGGTGGGTGCGAGTGTATGACGTGCCGTAGCTGCTCTCCAGAAACTTAGCAAGGACTGTCCCTGGAGCGGCAGGGTTGGGGCGGGGGCGGGTCTCCTTTACACCGATAGGGTTGTTACCGAGGATGGCTAGTCAGACAGTGACTAGCAGAGTAGCGGGACCTCCCGGGGGGAGGGGGATGCGCCTGCAGGTCCTGATGGGCTGTGACTTCAGGTGATCAAGGCCGCGGAAGACAGCGCCCTGCAGTACATGAACTTCATGAACGTCATCTTCGCGGCGCAGAAGCAGGTGAGCGCACGCCCTTCCTTCCCGGGATGCTCGCTTCATAATGAGGAACTAATTTCTTTTTCTTAATGACCCACCGAGGGAGGTGTTCTGACTAAACAGCCTTATGATTGGAGTAGGAATCTGGAACCCATAGTTCATACAATCATTTGAGTCCTGGGCCCCTTGAGAATGAGCCCCCAGAAAGACGTGCACTCAAACAGTGTGAATGCAGTTTCAGGGTGTTCATGCGCCCCATTGAGCCCATCCGAGGACCCAGGCTAATAGTCTCTGGCTTTACAGAGTGCTACATGCCTTGATGAATTGTCACTAATACACGTCGCTTTGTCCTTTGATGTGTTAAAACTTCTGTTATAATCGAAATGCCATAGTTGCATATACTGTTCTCCATTTGGGAGTAACCACGTGAGGTAGTGAAAAGACCATGGGCCTTGTGACAGGCCATCTAGGGCTGACCCGCTGCCTCCCCTGGCTCCATGACCACAGCCTGGCCAGGCCTGGGCTGCAATATGCTAATTGGACATCTGCCTTGCACAGTTATGCATGTTAAATAAGCCATTTCAAGAGTAGAGGTTGGCACATAGATCCTGAGTATAAAGTAGTCATTGTTACAATTCCTGTAATGTTTTTGGAATATTCATTTCAGAATATTTTGATCGATGCCTGTGTTTTAGACTCCGATTCAGGACTCCTCCAACAGGTATGTTTTAGGTGAATGCTTGGTGTTGGTTATGAAAAGGGGTGTGTTCTGTTCCTATTGTTCCATGCCTTTCACTGACTGTCACACATTTTGGGGGATTAGCCTCTGTTGACAGTATAGATTAAAGAATGAACATTTCTCTGGCCCCTTCAAACTTTCTATTTTACATAATAACTCGATTGACTTTGGAAAAGTGATTCACATATTAAAACAAATATAAGCAACACAAAAAAGTATTTTTTAAAAAGGTTAAAAAAAATCCCTTCTAATACTATTATTCGAAAATTACCATTGCTAATAACTGGTGAAGAGAATGCTAGATCTCTGTGTATATAGATAGAGATTTTTAGGAAGAGGAAGGGAGAGGGGGAGAGAGAGAAACATTGATGTGAGAGCCAAACATTCATTGGCTGCCTCCTGCACGCCCCCTACTGGGGATCAAGCCTACAACTCAGGCACGTGCTCAGGAATCGTCCCTTTGGGCGCATGGGACGACGCCCAACCACCTGAGCCACGCTGAGTTAATTGTATGGCGTGAATTATATCTCACAGTTGTTGTTTTAAAAACATGATGACTGAATAAACGTGGCAAGAATAAAGCTCATCAGCAGCAAACAAACAGAAGGAAGGGTGGAAGGCGTGAGCCAAGGGCAAAAGGAAGCTGAGTGCACATCCCGGAAGGAAGCGCAGTTCTGGTCCGCGCTCTGGGGAACACTGTCTCACTCCGCCGTGTCGTCTCCTCCCGTTGGGAGACCTGCAGCACGTCCCCCTGGAAAAGCGAAGTGCGTGCTGCTTTGGCAGGGGCCTGGTGTGTCTTGCAGGCTTGTGACATCACAGGGGGCCTGTACTTGAAGGTGCCGCAGATGCCTTCCCTCCTGCAGTACCTGCTGGTAAGGAGCCGTGACGGTGCTCCTGGCACCCGAGACCCGTCTCCCGGGGAACGAATGGGCGCAGATGGCAGGTGCCAGTCATTGGAGGGAAGGAGGAAAGGGGTGTCAGAGGGGTCTCGAAGCTGAGAAGGGGGGGGTGCTTCCCATAGTCTTTGAACCCTGCAAGCTGTGTGCAGAATTGTGTGCCTGCCTGTTTGCGGAGCGGTGCCTGTATGTGGAGGGGCTCAGTAATTGCTGAGTGAATACTAAAAAGGCTTTTTATTTTATTTTTTCAGTGGGTCTTCCTTCCTGATCAGGACCAGAGATCTCAGTTAACCCTCCCTCCCCCAATTCATGTGGACTACCGGGCCGCCTGCTTCTGCCACCGCAACCTCATTGAGATCGGCTACGTCTGTTCTGTGTGCTTGTCGAGTAAGTTCACGGCCGAGGTGGTTCCTTCTTGCCATGTCGCGGGAGGCCGGAGAGTGTCTCCCCGGTGTGGTTTTCAGCCCTCCTGACTTTTCTTTGTTTTCTGCATTTACAGTATTCTGCAACTTCAGCCCCATCTGTACTACCTGCGAGTAAGTATCTTTGGGGTTGGGTGGCTGGCTCCCCGCCCGCGGCAGAGAGTTCGCGCGTTAAAGGGCGCCTTGCTCCCTGTGTCATTCCAGGACGGCCTTTAAGATTTCTCTGCCTCCCGTGCTGAAGGCCAAGAAAAAGAAACTGAAAGTGTCTGCGTGAGGGCTGAGCTTTCCCACCTCCCAGAGCCGCCTGTGGGAACGCGAGCGGGGAGGGAAGTCTTTGTAAGGAGGCTCCGAGAAACACAGCGACGTGTAAGAATTCCTACTGCGGTTCCTTACAGGATGCAGTCCTGAAAGATCACCCTCACCTGTCGGGGACTGCTGTACGTGGGGAGCCCTTCTCTGCAGTGTCCATCCCTAGAATGCTTCCAGAGGGCTCTGTCCAGACGGGGAAAATCGCACATTTGTGACTTTTTAAACTGTGGACGATCACGTGTCACATCAGCCTGTCCTGACTGGGTGTGGGCTTTAGAGCTGCTTACTGTCAGCGTTGTTATGGGGGGAGTTGGAACAGCTTCAGGAAAGGTGAGTGAGGCCTAATCAACATGCACCGCCTTACATACTTGGGTCCGCTTTCCGATCCTTGTTGTCTGCATGGAGCTTCAGCCTCAGGTACTTGCAGGTACTCAGTCCTTTGTGTGACTTCGCACGTTTGGACAGCGATACCCAAATAATGACAGTTTGTCTCGGAATCACTGCGGAATGGCTTTACATGAGTCAGGTGGGTGATGCAGGAGTCTGGTGGCAACTTCTTCAAAAGCAGTTGTGTGAAGAGGTCATTTGTGAACGCTGATGTCTGGCTTGTGAGGGGTACTACAGGGTTGGGGGGGTGGATTCTTTATAGTGTCACCCGCAGACTGAATCCTTTCTTTTTAACCAAGGAAAAGAAATAAAAGTATTAACACTGGCTAACTGATCTCTAGAAGCTTGGGACTTAATACTGAAAATTTCTGTCCGTTCAAACGAAAAAATATTTGTAATTTCAGCAATAAAAATCGTATTTTTTCCATGTGACCTTGATGTTATTAAATCCTTTTAAATTCCAGCATAGTGTGGGAAGGGTTTTCGGGAACAGTGTGATTTGGTTTGTTTTTAAAAGTATGTTGCCAAGGGGGACATCTGTAATATTTCAACAACAAAAAAGCATGTTGACAAATTGTGTATCCAATCTTGTACACAGATAAGATTTAAAGTTTCTCTTTATACCATCTCGGAAGCTCAATCTCATTTAAGTAACTTGTGGTGTTTGGTTAGATTATTTCAGGTGGGTTTTGTATTCTGGACTTAGGATTTTATTAACTACACAAAGATTTTTGTGATAACTTTGCAAGTATTTGTTAATTCTTGAGTTTGAGAATCTTTAAAAATAATATTTAATATTCATAGCCTCATTAAGTGTAATGGAAATCCCTATTTTAAGTCTAGGAAAGAAAGCATTGTATATCTAAAAGGATAATTTCAAGTTTTGATAAGATTAATTTTCACTGGAAATGTTTTTATATACTGTTTTAGTTCTGTTTTATTTTTAACGGTTGTGTTTATGGTTTATTTTATATAAATTTTTATAATAAAATAATTTAAACTTTATTATTTTCTTGAGTTATTTTCTCTTACTCAATGTTTATCTCATGCTCATTCAACTCTGCGTCAAATGTGTACTTTTTAACTGGATTTGGTCAAATACCACATTTTTATTCATTTCTGAAGAACTTTAATTTCAAATCTTGCCAAACTTATTTGTGAAAATGCGGTTACATTTTTGCCAGGCTGAATTCTGGTGCTTCTGCATCTGTCCTAATGCGGGGCCAAACCTTTCCAGGGTGGTTTGATGCAGCCTGCTTTCGGGGTGCTGAGACCTTCAAAACTGGGCGAACAGTAAAAACAACGCAGTCATGGCCACGCAGCCGCACCCCCTTCAGGTCCGTCCCATAAGAATGAAGGGCGTTACGGCGCGTGTTGGGGAGCCAGTGTCTGCCGGCTCGCTCTGCAGCGAGGGGATGACCGGGTGTGGGAACTCCGGCTTTTAGGTTCCTGATCCTTCAGGTGAGCGCAGGGTTCGTGGGCGGGGCCAGGGTGCGGTGGGCGGGGCCAGGGCGCTGGGGCCGGGGCGGGCTCTCTGCCTCTGGTCCAATCCCGGCGCGACGCTCCGCAGGCCGGCGGCCGATTGGTGGTTGCCATAGCTCCCGGCGTCCGCTTGACAAGATGGCGGCGGAGGGGCGACGCGGGGCTCGGCGCGGCCTCCGGGCGCTTCCCGGCTTCTGAGGCGGCGCGGCTGGGTCTGCGGGCCCGGCGAGGGCCCGGACATGGGCTCGCCACCGCCGGCCGCCCTGCTCCTGCGGCTCCTCCTTGTGCTGGGCGCCCTGAGGCCGCTGCGGGGGGACCCGGGTGTGTACGGGCAGGGCCTGCAGGGCCGGGAGGGGAGGCGGGCGTCTCAGGGGCCAGACCCGCAGCCCCCACAGCGGGCGGGGAGCACCCGCGCAGGCATGGCCTCGGGGGCGACTCACTCCTCCCTGCCCCCTCCCCTCCCTCCCTCCCATCCAGTCTTCCTCCCGGCTTTCATCCGCGCGTCCGGCCCTGTGGTCAGCGCGTCCCTGCTCGGAGGCACCGAGGACGTGGCCGTGTCCCTGTCGCTGCTGCAGGACCAGGCGGGTAAAGTTTCCGGCGCTTCCGGTGGGCAGGGTGGGTATTGGAGCGGTCACTGGGGAGGGGGCTCCCCAGGGGTCCCCTGTGGCTGTCCACTTGCGAAGTCGGGATGGGGAAGGGGTATGGGGATGGGGAGGGAGAAGGGGGAGGAGGGAGGGGAATGGGAGAGGGGGAAGGGGGATGGGGTAGAAGGATGGGGGAAGGGGGATGGAGATGGGGATGGGGAAAGGGTATGGGGAGGGGGAGGGGGAGGAGGGAGGAGGGAGGGGAATGGCAGATGGGGGTGGGGATGGGGATGTGGAGGGAGGAGGGGGAGGAGGGAGGGGAATGGGAGATGGGGGAGGGGGGAGGGAGAGGGGAAGGGGATGGGGAAGAAGGATGGGGGAAGGGGGATGAGGAAGGGGGAAGGGGAAGGGGATGGGGGAAGGGGATGGGGATGGGAGAAGGGGGATGGGGGAAGGGGGAAGGGGAGTGGGGGGGGAGGGAGAAGGGAAGGGATGGGGAAGAAGGATGGGGGAAGGGGGAAGGGGAGTGGGGGAGGGGGGAGGGAGAGGGGAAGGGGGTGGGGAAGAAGGATGGGGAAGGGGGAAGGGGAGTGGGGGAAGGGGGATCGAGAAGGGGAAGGGGGAAGGGGGATGGGGATGGGGGAGGGAAAGGGAAAAGGAGGATGGGGATGGAGATGGGTGAAGGCGGATGGGAATGGGGGAGGCGGAGGGGAGGGGAGGGGGAGGGGGAATGGCTGATGTGGACCAGAGAGGACCCCACGGGAAAGCCTGCGGCCACAGTGCCTGGCATTCACCTTGTCGTCGGGATAAAAACAGTCATGTATTCTAGTCCCATTAGACAGATGGAGACACTGAGGTTCAGAGAGGCCGTCACTTGCCCAAAGTCATGCAGCCTTTAAGGGCCAGGCCCGGGCTGGCGAGGGATTCCATCCATCTCGGGGGCACCCTCAGCCCTGGGCGACGCGGCCCTGCATGCTCTCCTCCCGCAGGATCCTTGCCAGCTCCCACGTGCGGCGTGCTGAACAACGACACGGGAGACTGGAGTTTGGCTGTGACCCCCAGTGTGGTAAGGCCGGGGTGCAACCTCCTCGTAGCAGCCGCGAGGCCCACGTGCCGTGCTCTCTTACTTGGACGAGGCACACTGTCTCTCTCGGCGCTGGAAATACCGTCCAGCTGTGGGCTGTCAGGTCTAGCAGGCACCCATCCTGCCCGCAGGTCCTCACCCCGGGACTCAGGGCCCTTGGAAATGGCGTGTGAAACCCTGGGGGGGTGCGTTTTCTCAGGAGAGGGGTGCCATCTCCATCAGGTTATCGATGATTCTGTGACTCCAAAAGCTTTCTAACCACTGACCTCATCCCACCCTTCCATTTAGTTCACGTTTGGTGGCGTGCCCAGTATGTGCAAGGCGTCAGCCCTAGGGTTTGTTTATTTTTATTTTTTAATGTATTTTTATTGATTTCAGAGAGGAAGGGAGAGGGAGCGAGAGATAGAAACATCCATGATGAGAGAGAATGATTGATCGGCTGCCTCCTGCACGCCCCACACTGGGGATCGAGCCTGCAACCTGGGCCTGTGCCCTGACTGGCATTGAACCCGGGACCCTTCAGTCTGCAGGCCGATGCTCTATCCACTGAGCCAAACCAGCCAGGGCAACTCTAGGGTTTATAGAGGATGAGAAAGACAGACTTTGCACCCCAGGTACTGTTTTCAGTACTTTTTAAAAAAAATTTAAATTTTTTTGGTGTTTTCATCTTGCGCTGCTGGGATGCTAAACTAAAACGGGCTAGACAAACCGCGTTAAGTTAATTTCCCGACCCATGTTGAGTGTTGAGTTTCTGCGAGTGTGCGAACGCTGCTTCCTGTTACGGTCCCTGGGAGGCTGGGAACCGGGTTTGCCTGTGGCCAGAGGTTGGGGGTGGGACGGAACGGAATCGGGGCCTCTTGGTGGACAGTCCTCCTCCAGTTAAGTGAGCTGAGGCGGAGGGGTGATGGTGTGTTTTCCGGGAGGTGTTCTTACAATTGCAGGTGCTGAAAGGGACAGCGATCTGTTTCCTCCAGAACGCGTGGGACGTGACCGTGAGGCTGAAGAGGGCTCCGCCGTCCTGTTCCTCTAACGAGACCGGCTCCTTCTCCGAGTCCCCATGCATCGTCCAGACCCTCCTGGTGTCAGCGTCGCGCAGTTCGGCCTGTTTAGCACATCTGCTCATTCAAGTGGAGATTTATGCCAACTCTTCTCTGGCCCACAGTGCCTCAGGCAAGTGGAGGCTTTTTTTTTTTAATCTGCTCCTAAGGGTATGCTTTTGTTGTTTTTTTTTAATTTTCTTTTTTTGAGAGAAGAAGGGAGAGAGAGAGAGAGAGAGAGAGGGACATTGATGTGAGAAAGAAACCTCGATTGGTTGCCTCCTGTACATGCCCCAACCAGGGGTTGAACCCGCAGCCCGGGCATGCGCCCTGACGGGTTTGGGATGATGTTCCGACCAACTGAGCCCCACCGCCCAGGGCACCCTTCTATACCTTTTAAAAACAGCATGACGTCATCAAACAATAGCATAATTGATCATGAGTCAATTAATTTAAATATAAATTGGAGATTGTTCCATGTGAATACACCTAGTTTCGCCTCGTTCTTTTAACGGCTGCATATTATTCCCTTGTGTGAATACACCGTGGTTTCCTTCAACTGATCTCTTGGTGATGGCGGGAGAGCCATTTCAGCTTTTGTTGCGGTAACTGGTGCCGACAGCAGGCATCAGGGGAGATGGTCCTGTTTTCTCCCTTCCACGTGATGGCCGCGTTCTAAGGACGGAAGAGGTGCTGGTGGTGAAGGGTCCACTTGCATATTGTCTGACGTGTGGGTTTTCGCTGTGTCTTACGCACGGCTCACGTCAGGGACTCCTCGCTGGGAGTGTTGGGAGTGGGGGTCTGGGGAACAGCCACTCGGCTTTCTTGTCAGCGTCAGAGCGTGGCAGTGCTTGTCGGGGTGGGGGGTTCCTGGCTGAGCTTCTCCGCGTGTTCTTTGCAGAGAATGTGACGGCCATCCCTGACCCGGTGCACCAGCCTCTGGGCCCGTGTCCCTGCAACCTAACCGCCGGGGCCTGCGACGTCCGCTGCTGCTGCGACCAGGTGCGCCCCCGCCTGCTGCTCTTCTTCCTTTAAAATACGTTTTTACTGATTTCGCAGAGAGGGGAAGGGAGCGGGAGAGAGAGAGGAACGTGGATGAGAAACGTCAACATCCATGGACTGCCTCCCGCGAGCCCGCAACCCAGGCGCATGCCCTGACGGGGAATCAAACCTGCGCCCTCCTGGTGCTCCCTGCTCCTGTCTGTTTTCTTCCCAGGAATGCTCGTCCAATGTCACCGCGCTCTT